TCATTAATGTACACGATGAATGCGAAACCAAGTACGATATGTTTACTAAACTTGTGAAAATTGGGTTGGACAACATCATGCCGGAGGAAACCTTAAAAGTATATCCAACCGATGTTCCTTGGATGACTACGAAATTAAAAGATCTAATTCGTCTTCGACAGTTAGCCTTCCATGCCGATAGAAACAGTCTTCGTTTTAAATTCTACCACAATGCAGTCAACCGAGAAAGAAAAAGGTGCAAATCGTTGTATTATTCTTCGAAGGTAGAGAGTTTGAAGGGGGTCTAATCCGCGTTGTTGGTGGAAGGAAGTAAGAAAACTAAGTGGATCCGTTAAAAGTAACGACAGCGACGTGACGAGCAGGCTGTACGTTCCTGATTACGAAAACATGAATCTAGATGAAATATCTAACTCAATCAATGCTGCCCAACTGGAACCTCTGCAGAGCTATACTCCTCTAGACGTGAATGCTTCCCTTCAATCAGTTGACGAAGGTACAACTGTCTTCCTCGAAGTCTCAAGTTTTCGTGTGTGTAACAACCTGCGGCATTTAAAGCAGAATAAGGCACCGGGTCCTGATGGTCTATCCAACTGGATATTTAAAGAGTATGCAGAAATCCTCTGTGAACCGTTAGCTAACATCTTGAATTCGTCATTTAGGGAACAGCGACTACCCCCCGTTTGGAAGCATGCGAACGTAATACCAATACCAAAGGTCAAACAAGTTAAAGATCCTAAAAAAGAGTTACGACCTATTTCACTCACCCCATCGATTTCAAAAATTGTTGAGGAATTTGTAGTTACTGATTATATTAAACCCGCCATATTGAAGAACGTAGATCCAAATCAGTACGGTACAGTACCTGGATCCTCTACCGTGACAGCACTCACAAGCATGGTACATAAATGGCTTTACGAAACAGACGGCACGGGCTCTGTTGTAAGAGTATTATTGTTTGACTACCGAAAAGCGTTCGACCTAATCGATCATACAATCCTAGTCAACAAATTGGAAGAACTGGATATTCCCACCACTATAATCAACTGGATAATAAGTTTTTTATCGAAGAGACTACAGAGAGTAAAGTTGAGTCATGATTGCATGTCTGAATGGGGCGTTGTCCCCTCGGGTGTTCCGCAGGGTACCGAATTAGACCCATGGCTTTTTATTTTAATGATAAGTAACCTTGGTTTTCTGATGATCCCTTTGACATCTGGAAGTACGTGGATGACTCGACGGTATCGGAAACCATTATTCGTGGACACGATAGCAGTGCCCAGATAGCCGTGGACAAAGTAGTTAACTGGTCAAAGGAATCTCTTCTTCAATTGAACGGAGAAAAGTGTAAAGAACTAACCATCTCGTTCGGTCGTAATCGACAGCCCTATCCTCCAGTAACAATCGATGGAATCCCAATGGAGAAAGTATCTAAAGCCAAGCTGCTAGGAGTGACTATCAATAACAAACTGTCTTGGAATGACCATATCGAAGAAGTAATTAAGAAAGCAGCCCGTAGATTATATTTTCTTGTTCAATTGAAACGAGCTAATGTTCCTGTAGAAGATATTGTGGCATACTATTCTTCATGCATTCCAACTACTCTGGATTATGCTTGTCCCTTATTTCACAATTCCCTTCCAAAGTATCTTCAACAAGAATTGGAGAAAATCCAAAAGAGAGCTTTAGCGATAGTATTACCAGAATGCACTTATCAGGAAGCTCTGGAGAAAACGAAACTGGAAACCATCAGCGAGCGCCATGAAATCTTGTCAATGAATCTCTTTGATCAAATCTCCAAGGACAAAAGTGCAAAACTACACTCTCTCTTACCACAGTACAACACGAACACGAACTACAATCTTCGAAAGAAAAGAACCTTTGAAATACCGCTGGTGAAAACGAAGCAATTTGCGAACTCGTTTATAATGGCATGTAGCAGAAATCACGATAGGAAAACAACCAAATAACATTATGAGACAGTAAAACAGTTAAACATAGCTATATAGATATTTTTAACGTACTTTTTAAATTATAGGTTGTTAAAGTAGCGCCAGGGCCTTTTTTAAGGATTTTCCCGTGGGGAGGCATTTTATGAAAAGGGACTTCTGTGAGATAATATATTAGAGGGGGATAGCAATGGCTGAAGGCTACGTGTGTGGCCAATATACCACCCATGAATAGGGGGTGGTCTGGGGGAGTACTCCCCCAGAAAATTTTTGAAATTTGAATCCCGGAAAAGTCATTTCCTGCATTCTGAGCATCCAAATTTGCTCTAAAATATATGCTAACTATACCTGTATTTGAAATAAAAGATGAAAAAAATGCACAAAAAGTAAAAAAGAATATTAACTGTAATTTATCATTACTTATTAGAGGGATAATTCCCAGAAAATTTTTGAAATTTGAAACCCGGAAATGCTATTTCCTGCATTCTGAGCATCCAAAAAATAAAAAAATTATTAACAATAATTTATCATTACTTAGTGGTAGAAAAAAGTAACAATTTAAAAACAAACGATAAAGCCTAAAACTTATGCTACTAATGCTACTATTCTTAATAAAACTATCTATCTATCTATCTATCTATCTATCTATCTATCTATCTATCTATCTATCTATCTATCTGCTATATATAAATTATCTACCCAGTTGTTTGGAACATGGAATTGCCAGGCTATTTGCTGACGATACAAATATGACTTCCACAGGTTGCAATTTGGAATCGGTCAAAAATAAAATGCAGATTGAGCTTAATAAAATATTCAAGTGGCTTTGTGCAAACAAGTTGACACTGAATATTTTAAAGACCGATTTCATGGTTATTGCTTCTTGACAAAAGCTAGCGGCCTTGGGAGACTCAATAGCATTGTCAGTAAACGGTGTTTCATTAAGCCAAGTTCGTTCGGTGAAATCCTTAGGAGTAAACATAGACGAAAACTTAAATTGGGAAAACCATGTGGAGAGTATTCGCTTAAAAGTATCCCGTAATATTGCCACTTTGAGGCGATTAAAGCCCATTTTAACACAAAAAAACCTAGTATCACTCTATCGGGCGATAATTGAACCATATTTCATTTATTGCTCCATAGTTTGGGACAGCCTTGATCAAACATTAGACAAGTCTCTACAAATTTTACAAATAGGGCTGCCCGTGTGATAACTGGGGCACATTTCTCAACATCATCCTCAAAACTCTTAAAAGAACTTGGTTGGATGAATATTCAGGAAATGAGGTATAAACACAAGGCTATGATGATGTATAGAATAGTAAATGGTAATGCACCATCTTATTTAATAGACATATTTAAACATTGTCATGCTTTGGATATATATAATCTCAGAAGGTCTAAAATAACCTTCGAACTTCCAAAAAATCGAACACTGTACTACAATTCAAGTTTTGCCTTCACTGGTGCTAAATTATGGAATTCTCTTCCGGATGAGATAAAAGACGCACCATCACTTAAAATATTTGTAAAAATGTTAGACTCGACTATATTCTGTGCCAACTAGAATATGTTTTCTGTATATAGTTTTATATTGATCATGAAAATATTAAGATACACGACTTTTAGGAAGAACAAATGTAAATATGTCATATCTACAATTAGTATAAATTTTGCATATCAAATGAGCTTTCGCGCGTTCTGATTGGCTAGTTGACTAGTAAATCTGAGGCATTATTTACCACCTGGGTAGTAAATAATGCTTTTCAAAAAGAATGATTCGGCAAATTTGGTTACAAAATCGACAAAATATTGAAAAAATCGTCCCAGAAAAAGAAAAAAAGCACAAAATGTTGTATTTAACTTGAAAGGTAGGATTTAGTATTATATTACTGTGTAAAACATATTCACGGACAATTTAAAACTTATTTAAAACTCCGAAACATTCGCTTCAAACGTAAATCTGAAATAGCAAAAAATATCCCGACTTTTGGGAAAAGCCGTGCATGATATTCTTTTTAAAACAATTTTGTTTTGTATCCTATAAATATCTCAATTTGTACGATACTATTTCTTTTGACTATGTCGTGTTTTCATTGTGCTGTATATGGTGTCCTTTCGCTGTATTGTACTATTTGTGTTTTTAAAGTGTAAAACTTGTAAAGTGAAAAGTGTATTAAAACTTTTATATTAATTCGAACGATATAGTTTTACATTTCATTTTACCAAATTTCTCAGCCATTTCCTGAACAAATTAATGCTAAACAGAAACTATTTTTTAATTCTAAGTCTGGTAAAAAAGTCATATTCCATCATTGTGTTTATATTCTAAGCAGAAATCGAGAAAAATAACTTTGTAATAAAGCAATAAAGTCGCACAGGAAGCCATTTTGAAAGCGTGCGTGTACAAGAAACACTGCAACACTAAACCGTAAACCGGTCGAAAACAGTTTTATTTCTGAATTTTAATTAAACTTATAGTTGGATAACTTGGATATTTTGTTTTATTCATTAAAAATTTATACTAAAACAATTATTCGCCTCAGGCTCAGTGATTACGGTGAATATTCACCTCGACTTCGTCTCGGTGAATATTCACCGGTAATCACATCGCCTTCGGCGAATAATTGTTAATTGATAAAACCACCGTGGTTAAATAAAAATTTCAATCAATCAATCAATCAATCAATCAATCAATCAATCTATCTATCTATCTATCTATCTATCTATCTATCTATCTATCTATCTAAGATATGATTTTTCTTATTGTCAGATATTACAAGACCCACGCATGGTATCCTGATTGTCCGAAGGGTGCTAAAGACATTGTTATTTACCGTGAACCATGTGCTGCTTTCAAACAGTTTCTTTAAATTCTTTGAGGGTTGGATGTTCCAAACTGGAGAAGTTTCTCTTCATGAATTTGTAAAGGATTTTTGCTCGCTCGTGAAGTACCACAAAACAAGATGGAAAATGCATCCTATTTCGTCCACTTGATTAGCTGGTGGGAACACAGGAATGTGATTCGAATTTTTGTTTCTGTCCTTTGAGGATATGAACGATGATCTGGAAAGTGTAGTTAGGAAGACTGCAGCATTCATAGGAATTCAGCACGAAAGAAATATTGAGAAGGCTGTGGAAATGAGCTCTTTTGAATTTATGAAGGGAAACCAGAAAAAATTTGCAGATATGCACATCGCACGTTATCGGAATGAAGCTTGCGGGGTACCCCATGATGCTGTGCCCAATAAGGTTGTCACAGGATCTGCATCAAAAGGACGAGAGTTAATGGATGATAAAACGAAAGAAATAATTCAAGGAAGGTGGCTGGAAGTTGTTGCTAAACAAGCTGGATTTCAAGATTATAATGAGTTGAGAAGTGCATTCCAAAAGAATAATAATTAAGAAATATTTCAAATTGTTTTTAGTATGTCGGAAACTATACAGATTAGGGGGTGATGATGACGTAGTTGACACATCACGTGAATTTGTTAGGTGCTACAATCTAAGTGATTGGGGTTGGGATTATTAATAACTTTGTATTTGTTGGTGTTCGGTATAGAAACAATGACTTCGTTTGTGACTTTGTGAAAGTGTGGACTTCTACACCGTGTTCAACTGTAAAGGGAATTTATGAAGGGAAACCAGAAGAAATTTTCAGATATGCACATCGTACGTTATGGGAATGTCCAATAAGGTACAGGATCTGAATCAAAAGGACGAGAGTTAATGGATGATAAAAGTAAAGAAATAATTCAGGGAAAGTGATTGGAAGTTGTTGCTAAACAAACTGGGTTTCAAGATTATAATGAGTTGAGAAGTGCATTCTAAAAGGAAAAGAGAAATAATAATTAAGAAATATTTAAAATTGTGGGTGATGACGTAGGGGTGATGAAGTAGGTGACATATCACGTAAATTTTGTAGGTGCTATAATCTTAGTGATCGGGATTATTAATAACTTTGTACGTGTTGGTGTTGGGTGTAAAAACTATCTTAATTTAAAACTTACAAGTTTGTGACTTTGTGAAAGTGTGGACTTCTACAACGTGTTCCCCACAAGTACACAGTTTGGTAATAATAAATGAGAATTGTATACAGTACTAGCAGTTTTAAATCCTTTATTCGCATGCTGACATTCTAAAAATATGCCCTTTGGCTAACTAGTATAGGCACCTGTCCTTTGCCCAATTACTATAGGCATGTGTTACCCTGAAAGCAAAAATCTTTGTTCAATCGGATTGTTAAGGGCGCAATAAGTTTTCCTTTCCCAATAAGTCCCTTCCCCAATAATTCCACGACTGCGAAATTCTTTGCGAGAATTGGAAATTGTGTCTGCGAAATACGGATGATTGCACAAGAGTGGTTCTGTTAAATTTTCCCACTTTTTCGCTTTCTCCGTGACTGTGAGTAGAACTACTCACTTGTGAAGCGAAATTTTTTCTCGCGAAGCCTAATTTATTTATCTTTATTACGCATGCACGAATTTGCATTTCCGCGAGAAATGATAGCTTGAAATAGTGTCCCCCTCCTCCTCACAATGGCACATTCAGTGGTGAACACTTATATTCACGGGGGCGAATCATGTTGCCACCCTATGACCACCTTTTGTAGCTGGAGACCTTTATTAGTTCTTTTGCCTTAAATTTTCTGACGTCCTAGCGTCCGCCAATGAGCACAGTTTTGGTCAAAACATTGAATGAGGGATGACCAGTTTTTGTGAACAAACCAACATTGTATAGGAGGAGGGGAAATTTTAAAATAGTCTACGATTCCATGCATGAAGATCAATGTAAACTGATATACACAGCCACAGTGAAGAAATGTTATGAATTTCCAACCCATGGGCAGGTTTTACGTAATGATACATTTTATGATTTGAATATATCGATGTTTGAATTGTATATTAGGGAAGCCTCGCATATCGATTTTTTCCACGAGAAACGTCATATGTTCGTTTGGGGGTCGGGGGGTTGGCAGCTGTGACGTTTCTCTGTAAACATCATGGAAAAAATCAATAGTTTTTATCTTTGCAGAGTATAAAAAAGAAAACAACTGATTTGATACAAACACCAGTCTATATATTCGTAATACCATACCTGTTCTATACCTATACATTTATATTATTACGCCTTGTTTGCATTTGAAAACACTCAAATTTCAAGAAATACGCGCTAAAATTATCAATATTTCATGCAAAAAAGTTGTTTTGAGAAACGTTGGAAATTTTGAAGTTCACATATATATTAATAAAAAGAGTATGTCAGCAGAAGATGACATATTCCTCGCGGAAGCATCGCCAATAGCCGACCGAAAAAAATAGTAGAAAATTACTTTATGTGTACTATATTGAACAAAATATCGATAACTATGTGTGGCGTTTCTAAGGGGGTGGGGGGTGGGGGGGGGTCTCCAGAGAAACGAACATATGACGTTTCTCATGGACAAAATCGATATGTGAGGCTTCCCTTACTGAAAATAATTTAAAACATTTTCACACTAGCCTCCTCCACAGGCGTCGCTTTTAGATTATCGGCAAAAATTTGCTTGCACCGACTTTTTAAACTAAGTAAACAACAAGATGCCTGCGAAGGAGGCTAATTTCACACTTAGCAGCAAATAAAAAATCCAGCATTTTAGCATTACCCAGATAACATCTTAACAGTATTGCCAAACTAAAGAACTATAAGCGTACAAGGGGGGG